GTCTTGCACCATGAGCAAAATCTTTGCTGTTATCTGAGTAATTATTTCTGATTTCATTTTTCCCAGATCCTCTTTTGTTGTGAGTTCAGAGAGTCCAGGTGGTTGAGTATCAGATTGTTCCATCTTGTTTCCCTTTGGGGTTGCTGTAGGTGATCCAGAAGTCTGTTATTGAGGCTTGTTTATGTGTCTTCTCATTTCCACATGGGGGTGGTGCTTCTGGCAGCCGCGTGGCTCACCTTCTCTGCCCTAGGAGCTTGGGATGGCAGCCGGGGAGCGTCCTTCCGGGTTCTGGGACTGGCTCAGCTTCTCTGCCCTAGGAGCTTGGGATGGCGGTGGGGGAGCTTCCTTCCAGGTGCTGGGACCGGCTCACCTTCTCTGCCCTAGGAGCCTGGGATGGAGGTGGGGAGCTTCCTTCCAGGTGCTGGGACCAGCTGAGCTTCTCTGCCCTAGGAGCCTGGGTTGGCGGTGGGGGAGCTTCCTTCTGGGTGCTTGGACCAGTTGAGCTTCTCTCCCTAAACACTTTTTATGTGTGATATCAATTTTTTTGCACTGCACATATTGAAGTGTTGTTTTTCCATTTACTCTTCATGAAATTTATTTAGATACATCTCCATCTGGTGCCCAGTGCTGGCATTACCACTTAAGTGGTTTATATTTGCAAAGCTCATTATCTTTGTTAATGAACATCAGAAATTTTATCTCAATTGCTCACTGACATTCTATCATATGTGAAATAAGGCAGCCAAAGAAAGTTCACTATCTCGTGGTTTTCTTTCATGAACCCAAAACATAAGTTAATTAAAGAGTAAGGTAGGAGAATGCTTCTTAAATTTTTAAGTGATATCCATAGAGAGAACACTTTACACAATGTTTTCTAAAGGCTCTGACAGTCTCATTTACAGTGGTATCAAATACTTCTGCAAAAATTTAAAAACAAATGATAACTGTGTGAAGAAAAAGAATCTAGGGAGTTTTTGCTACACAGTTTTTTACAGTGTGAACTTTGCCAATTGCAGCAGAGAAGGACTGTAAATTACATCAAGGTATTCCCTTGAATGCATGTACAGTCTTCACCATTCTTGGGTGGTAAACTTGTTTCTTATACTCAACTCTGCTATGAACACACTTGTAATATTTTTTCCTGATATAGTTTCCTAGAAACAGAATTATTGGATCAACAGAGAAGAAAAAACTAGAATCTTTTTTATATTCATTGACCACCTGATTTCTAAATTTTCTGACCATCAGAAGTTTGTTTACGTGAGGCTTTATTCATTTCAGGGGAGGGATTCTCAGATGGCTCTTCCTGTTGTCTCGGCAGTATGAGAATAAAGTGTCTGTCCCTGCTACTGGGTAAGTAAAACAAAAATTCTCTTCTCCCCACAGCCTCCTCTCCTAGCTTTGTTTCATAGGCCCACACTTGTCTCTTCCTCCAGCAATAACTATAAGACTAGAAAGTCTCATACTAAGTTTCTTAGAAAGGGGTTCCCCAAGTAAAACTGAAAGGTAATGCTATTAAATGGTGCTGGGGCAACTGGAAATCTATAGTTAACAAAAACAAAACAAAATCTTATATTGTAAACAAAGAAAAACTCTCAAAATGAGTCACTGACTTACATGCAAAATACAAAACTTAGGGGAAAAGTAAGAGAAAAATCTCAGGATCTAGATTTATGCAGTGAAATGTGAAACTAAAACATAATTTATAAATGGAAAATTGAAAATTAGATTTCAAAATTTAGATGAAATCTTTTTTTTTTTGGTACCAGAGATCAAACTCAGAACCTTGCGTTTGCAAGGCAGGTGGCAGAACCACTGAGCTAAGTCCGCAGCCCAGATGAAAACTTTTACTACAAAAGACATAATTAAGAGGATAAAAAGCAAGTTATGAGCTGGAAAATATTTGCATACTAAAGATTAATGTCAGGAGTATATAAAGACCTCTCAAAACTGTTAAAATTCTAATTTGAAAATGGCAAAAAACATGAAAAATATTTCACTGACAAACCATTCAAAAAACAAGCCCACAGTTCACCTATTTCTGCCCTGTCAGGATAAGGTAATATACGTTTTTGGAAAAATGCTTATGCTTGAGTGTTTTTGGCTTAGAAAAATGACACAGTCTTATGATTTACCAGTATTATGTGTGAATCCTTAAATATAATGTTTTCAATGTGATCTTTTATTTATTTTTTATTAGAACATGTTTGTCATACATTGTGATCATATTCGTCATGGGGGATTTACACATGTACGTAACACACCTTGATTCCTCTTTTTTCCCTTCTTATTCCCTCCCTCCAAGCCTTTTTCTTCTCCCCATTCACAAAAGCTCTATTTACATTTTTCTTTCAATTCTATTCTGTTCTTTAGATCCCTTTTCCTTGCTTCCTTAGCTCCTCCTCCCATCTCTTTCTCCCCTTCCCATTTGAACAAGTTCTTCCTACTTCCTAATGTCTGTCTTTCATTTTGCTCCTTATTTATACTTTGGTTTTCTCACACAAGAGGAACAATGTGATACTTCAACTTGTGTGTTTGATTTATTTCACTTAAGATTATGATCTCAAGGTGCATCCATTTACCTAAAAATGTCTCAGGTTTATCCTTCTTTATGGCAGAGGAGTGCTTCATTGTATGAATATAATGGAGGACTTAGGAGGAGAGAGGTTCATCTCATGTTGGTCCACTGGCTTTTCTTTCCAGTGCTGGGGCTTGAACCTCGGGCCTCACACATAGTAGGCAAATGATCTGCCACTGAGCTACATTCCCAGCCCATGTCTTGTTCTTTGAGAATCTAAATGGATTGTGGATGTGACACAATTCAAAATGATGCAGATCTTACATGCCATAAATGCTACCACTTGAGAGCTGATGCTGGCCCTGAAAGAAAAATGCATCCATATTTTGGTAAAGGATTCTGACACAGTCAGCCTGCGATGAAAAGGACAAAAATGCCTTTATCAGGTGGCTGGCCATTCCAAGCCTATCAGACTTGAGGCAGTATGTAACCTGGGAGGAAATAGCTGGGAAAGTCTTCTGCATTTCTGAGTTCTCAGCTTGTATACGAAGCTTCTTTTCAACACAGTGGAAGCAGAAACAGGTCATCTTCAAATATCCTTACTCATATGAACTTTGTCCACAGTAACCAGGCTCCTAGGGTCTCAGTGTCTGTGCTGTTCAAAAAAAAACCAGTCACTAAGGCCTGACCCTTCTGGTACCATGGTCATAGGTCATTCGTGGCTACTAAGCATTAAAAACGTGACCAGTCTGGCTGAAGAGGTGCTATGTGTTCAAAATACAAATTAGGGCACAAAGACTCAATACACAATAGAAAAAATGTAAATAATTTATAAATCATTTTTAAATTAATATTTGTTGATAACATAAGCTTATAAATTACAATGTAAACATCTTGACTCTATTAGGTTACATAAAATAGATCATTGAAATTAAATTCGCCTGAGTCTTTGGTTTTTCAAAATATGGCTACTAAAAAATTTTTAAATGTCTATGCCATTAACTTTATGTTTCTACTGAATTTAAAGTCTGGACTGATGGAGAGAAAAGTGAATATAGAAGAGAGATAGAAAAATTGGTCTTTTAGTGTTAGTTTTGGAGAAAAAGTTGAATTAGCTGCTGAGTTTTGAGAAACTGGAACACACAGATACAATCGGATTCACCTTTTGAGCTTCCTAAGTTTATGATACCCACAGTTAAGCTTGTCTTAATAGCACCTCTGTTGAAGCTAGCAAGTACATCTAGGCAGGAGTCTGTCTTTGTAGGGAGTCAGAGTCTAAACTAAGCCCAAGCAGATTCTCAAGGCAGACTCTGGAATTATTTCTCCTCTTTCTATTCCAGCTCTCAGCATCTTGCTGGCTGTGTCAGGATCAGAAGCACAAAATTCTGGAGGTGAGTCTACTCACGGCCAAAGGCCAGGGGAAAGGAAATTGGGATTTGGACCATTCCTTCAGGGAAGAAGAGGAGCCCTTTGCAAGTTGAGAGAACTGAGACCTGCATACATATGTTCTGCCTGCATTCGGTTCTTCCAAGGGCTGTTTCCCATCTCCACCACCACAGTCACCGAATTTGTATTGGTCAACTTTCCATTGCTGGGAAAAATTATCTAATACATACAGCTTAGTGAGAAATTATTTATGTTGGTTCAGGTTTCCAAGGTTTCAGTCCATTGTCAGCTGGCTCCAAGGAAGAAATATGGCAGAAAAGCAAGCTAGAAGACAGCTGTTCAGCTGCTGGCATCTTGGAAGCAGAAAGCAGAAGAACCTGAGAGGAATGAGCTAGGAACTAGATATAGTTCTTAAGGTCACACTCCCATGACTCACTTCAGAGTCACTGGCCCCTCTGCAGAGTCACTCGCTTTACTACTACACTGGCCCCACTACAAATAACTCATTCCACTATGAACTCCTCAATGGATTAACCCATTGATGATGTTAGTGCCCCTTCACAATCCAATCACCTCTCCCAGAATCTCTTAATACAGTCAAGTTGACAGTCAAGATTAACTCATTCAGTCCACCTCTTGTCAACTTGACACTCCTTAAACCATACTTAATATCCATATAAACACAATGACAAGATTCTAATTCCATCTAACGTAACTGTCCATAACCCAAACAAACTACTTTCCCCAAATCTCAGCAATCCCAGCAATGCTCAAATGTCCAAATCCCAATTGTCCTTAGAGATGCAAGGGAATTCTCAGCTGTAACTCCCTATCAGAAAAAAAAATTTTTAAGCAAGTTAATAATCCCAAGATAGAATGTCACAGGGTAAACATGTCAATTCTAAAAGGGAGGAATAAAGGGATAGAAAAGAATTGTGCCAAAATTCGGCAGAACAAATGTTAAATTCTATAGCACCATGTCCAGCACTGAAGGCATGTGCTATCAAGATGTGAACTCCAACAGGCTTCCACAGCCCCATTATCTTTGCCCATGTGGCCTCTCCTGGGTTGGCTATGCTTGCTTCATGCAGTTTTCCTCAGCAGATGTTCCACATTCCCAACATCTTGGTCTCTCCACTGCACCTTTGGCTTCCTATATTTCTCTCAAAGGGGCTCCTGACCCTGCCATATATTGCCTTGCCTCCCAACATTCCATTGAAATTTGGGTGGAAGCCTCCATGAGCCTGAACGCCTACATTCTTCATGACTGTAACACTAGTGTCATGTAGATGACACTAAAGTCTGATGCCAGCTTGGCAGTAGCCATGTTCCCTTATTTACAGCTGCAGTGTCCTCTGAGTGCCTGGGTGGCTGAGCATGGCGAAATGAATCCCAACAAATCTCTATGTGGCTCTTCTCAAGTAACAGGCCCAGCAGCTCTCACCACAAATTAAAAGTTAATGCTTTTGTACCCTTGAATAGTCATGAATGTGGTCTTGGTGATTTCTGAAATGCCCTCAAGACATTTTTCCTATTGTCCTGGTGCAACATAATTGGTTTCTTCTTAGTGGCACAAATCTATTCAGCAACCATACATTCTTTACCCCCAGTTTTATATGTGCTTCTTTTCTTGTATTTTTGGAAAATACAAGTTTTTTGAATCTTTTGGCTCTGCTTTTTCTTCCAAATTCTCCCTATAAATTTAGAATAAAACAGCCAGCAATACCCATGCCACAGTCTGAACATTGGGCTGCCTTGAAGTTTTCTCCATCATGTCATTAATTTGTCACCTTTAAACTCAGGCTGAAAGTTTAGTGTATGGATAAAATGTACTCAAATTCTTTGCCAGGATGTACCATGCATAGACTTAGTTGAATTCCTGATAGAGTCCTCATTCCCATCTGTAACTTCAGGAGCACAGTCTTTATTATCTGCATTCCTATCTTAGTCTTGACTAGAATTGCACCTCAATCTTTGTTTACTGCATTCTAGGGCTTCTGTGATCCACATGTCCAAACATTTACAAAGCCCTCCAACAAACTTGTTCAAAAGACTTTGAATCGCATGGTCAGATATAGTCACAGCAAATACCAATTTTCTGTGTTGGTCAGGTTTCTGTTGCTGAGGGGAAAAAAAAGACTTGCTATACACAACTTAAAGGAGAAAAGGGTTATTTTGGCTCATGTCTTCAGATATTTCAGTCCATAGTCAGCTGTCTCCAAGGCAGAAATGTCATGGCAGAAGAGCAAGGAGAAAAGCTTCTCAAATCATAGGATTAGAAAGGGGAGAGCAGGGCCGGGGATTTACCTCAGTGGTTTCGCTGCCTTCTGTGCAAGCGCAAGGACCTGAGTTCAATCTCCGGTACCAAAAAAAAAAAAAGAAAAGAAAAGAAAGGGGAGAGCAGGGGAAGAGGCAGGGAGGCAGGGACCAGGGACCAGATATAATCCTCAAGGTTGAATTTCCATGACCCACTTCCTCCAACTAGGTCACTCCTCCTACTACCCTATCCAGTTATGAATTCATCAATGAGTCAAGTCACTGACAGGTTAGTATCTGCAATATCCAATAATCTGTCCAGGAGTCTCTTTATCCAGCCAGGTTTACGATCAAGTTTAACTGGTACAATGTTCATTTCCTTAGCTGAAAAAATTACAGATGGCATTGCATTTAACTGTCATGGTGTCCCTACAAATAAGTTATTGACATAATCTTCACTTGACTAATGGTTCTCTATAGAATGATCTCATTTAAGGTCACATTGGAGGCCCTGAGTTTGATTCCCGGTATCAAAAAAAAAAACAGTCACATAGTTGATGGATGCTGGATTCTGTTCTTTCTTTCCTCAAAGTATGTGTCTTATATCATTCTAAGAAATAATTTGTTTAGCCTCAGACTTGAGTTTTAGATCCTAGAAACAGAGTCTGAACGCAAGTCATTTATCTATAAGTAATCCCAGAAAGTACCAACTGAGAGTGGGAAGTGACTTTGGAAATGCAGGAAAAAATATAAAGTCCATTATCAAGCAAGTTACACAGAAACAGCTGAAGTATGACCCTCTCAGAGAACTGCTGGACATAGTATGGAACATGAACCTCAGAGTTACTCCCCACAATGGGTAAAGAGGCAGTTTTACATTGTTATTTGTATGTAATTTACTTTTTTAACCATTGTCAAGTGTGCAGATCGGTGGCATTCACACTGCTGTGCATCCATCATTATCAACAATATCCAAAATTTTCTTCCCAAAATGAATTTTTCTATCCACTAAACACTCTCTTTTCCTGTCCCAACCCTCTGATACTGACCATTCTTGAATTTGAGTTCTCTAGGAACTTTCTGAGTGGAATCATACGGAATTTGTCCTTTTATAACTAGCTTATTTCACTAAGTATCATGTCTGTGTTTTTTGCATGTGTTGGAATTTTGTTCCTTTTAAAGGCTGAATAAGCTGATTATGGTGGTGCACATCTGTAATCCCAGCACTCTGGGTGGCTGAGGCAGGAGGGTTGCAAGTTTGAGCCCAGGCTGAGCAACTCAGGGATTTAACAAGACCCTGCCTCAAAATTAAAAATAAGGGATGAGGATGTAGCTCAGTATAAAGATCCTGAGCTCAATTACAGTACCAAAAAGACTGAATAATATTCCATTTATGTATGGATCACTTTTGCCTATCTATTCATCAATGAATGGATACTTGGATTTCTTCTTCCTTTTGACTACTCTGAATACTGGTGCTATGTACATGGATATAAAAGTCTCTTTGATTGCCTGATTTCAGTGATTTTTGGTCATATATCCAGAAGTTGAACTGCTAGGTCATATGGGAATTCAAATTTTTACTCTTTTGAGGAATGGTTGTATCATTCCATGGAGGCTGCACCATTTTACATTCCTACCTGCGGAGTGCTAATGTTCCAATTTCTTCATCTCCCCAAAGCCATTTGTTATTTTTAAATCATAATGAAGCTGGGTGTTTTTATAGACTGACTTGTCGGTCACTGTGGCTCCTTGGAGGGTAGGCACTGTTAAACAACTGATTTTCCATGTGGTGAGCATAGAGGGCTTGGTGGCTAGAAAAGGCCCAGAGGGAAAGAAACACAGATACTTGGAGTTCAAAGTTTGATTCTTGAGAAAAGCTGTCACTAGTGGCAGTGCTGGGGATGTGGACAGGAATTGTGACCACCTATATTCAGCAGTGGAATGGGTGCAAAGGAAAAAAAAAAGAGTCCCAGGAAGAATCTTCTCACCGCAATGTGTGATCCATTGTAGATGCTCAGTAACTATTTCTTGGATGAATGACTGAGCCAGTGAACAAGTGGATTCTTTGTTCCCTGCAGCTCCCTGTCCTCTATGCCCTGCGAATGCCGTCTGCTACAATCACACCCACTGTGTTTGTATGCATGGATTCCAGTCTCATTCTGGGAGGGATTACTTCATTGGGACCAAAGACAAATGTGAAGGTAAAGATATCATGAGGTTTTACCTCAATCACTTATTGGTGACAAATGTGCTGGTTCATTTCTCCTCTACCCCAGCACAAAACAATAGCCCATATAAAACACATAGCTTGTCATAAGACACATCAACAAGGAACAGTTATTTGGCAATTGTACTATCCCAGAGCCTTTCAGATAGAGAAAGCAAATGTGAATTGTTGACCTAGAACAATTCCTGTCTTAGGTCTATCTGGGGTTTTTTAATCTCCACTCTGATTTACTGACAGGGAAAACTGAAGAGCAGAGAGACACAGGTATGCAAGTATCACATAAGCTAGGATTCAATAGTATGGTCCTCCCGCCTCACTTATAATCTTCTCTAACAGCATGTTCACTAACCATCACTTTATTCCCTTGTTTCTGGTTGTGAATTAATTGGATTTAACTCAGTGTGTGATTCAGCATTTAAAAATCCACTGTATGGGCCGGGGATTTAGCTCATCGGGGCCACACTTGTCTTGAAAGAGCAAGGTCCTGAGTTCGATCCCCAGTACCGGGAAAAAAAATCCACTGTATCTTCACTTCTGTGATTTCACATAATATTTCCACCATATACTAAATTACAATTCATCCTTGAGTTTATTTCTTAGCTTTTAGTCTGTTTCACTGGCCTGTTTTTATTTATTCATTCACCAGCACCTCCTGGTTTCACTGCGGCTTGTTAATATGTTTTAATACCTGGTGAGGGAGGTCCTCACTTCATGATCTTTCTGCTTATCCTTGCATAATACTATCGACTCTTTCTCAGTTTATAAATTACTTGTAGATTTTTAAATGGTATTACATAGGACATATAAGGGAAAAGTGTCATATTTATAATGTTGCCTCATCCTATTGAAGATTGTTTGCTATATTTATAAATGATGTTGGATAGTAGAGATTCCATAGGCAAGAGGAAAATGGTGTATTTCTGTGAGAATAAAAAAATAATATTTTGTCTTGGTTCTAAGATATCAATGAGTGTAAGACTGGACGGGCAAAGTGCAAGAAAGTATCATACTGTAAAAATAAAATTGGAAGCTACATCTGCAGCTGTTTAATCAGTTCTTGGTTATACTGGATAGCTGGTATCGCTGAAATTGATCGTCCAGAATGTTATGGTAAGAATTTCTAAATACTTTTTCCACCATGAGAAAGGAGCAGGAGCACAGTTTGTCACAGCTCCCAGAATATGAGTCCAAGGAAAGAGAAGAGAGATCTGTCTTCACCCTCGTCCCTGTTCAGTCCTTGTTCTGGGTGATCTTTTCCTAAGAGATGTCACCAAAGCATCAGTAATCATCCCTGTCTATACACCTTCCAAATTTATGTCACCAATCTGGGTCACTTTCCTGGGCCTCCAAAGTACATCTTCAATTTTTTCTAAACTTATCTATTTTTTCATCTTTTCTTGATCTTCAATTCAATTTCTATGACTATCAGTTTTTTTTATACTAAAATTCACGAATTCCTATTGGTACTTCTGATTCCAATCTAACACCAAGATATGACTTAGAGTCTCTTTTTCCTTATCTATAATATCTCTCTCCAATAATGAGAAATACACTACTCAATATCCACAGTACGTGTCTCAGTTGCTTTCTTCATTGCTGGAACAAAATACCCAACACCCACAACTTAAGGAGAAGTTTATTTTGACTCACAATTTGTAGAGATTTCAGCCCACTGGTGGCTGGCTCCAAGGCATGGCAAAGGAGGGTGGCAGAGGAGAAACAGCTCATGGCATGGCAGTCAGGAAGCAGAAACCAATCAAGGGAGGAGGGAAGGAGAAAGACCCTTCCATGCCATGCTGCATGTAACCCACCTTCTCCAACCAGGCTTCCCCTCCCAACATCACATTTCACTATAAATTCATCAGTGGACTAATCCACTAATGAGTATCACACACCCACGATCCAATCACCTCTCAAAAGCCCCACCTACGAGCACATGAGACATTGAACAAATATCCAGATGTAAACCATAATGTTTATATGTATATTTAATTTATTTCTTTGATCCTCATATGATGTTGTATGCTGTGCTGATCAAGTGGTGGTTCCTCAACTTACTCGTTGGCTTTTTTTTTTTCTGGTACCAAGGATCAAACTCAGGACCTTGCACTTGTGAGGTAGGTGCAGTGCCACTGAGCTAAATCCCCAGCCCAACCAGTTGACTTTTGGTTAGGGCTCAACTTATCTAAATGTCTCATCTACATGTGGGAATATTAATAGAATCTACTCAGTTATATGTTGCTGTATCTCAGGTTACCCCAACACGTAGTAGCTTAAAGCAACATAGAAGTGTATTATTTCATCCTTTTTGTGGGTCAGGAGTCTAGGCCTGGCTTATATGTTTTTTCTGAATCTCAGTCCCTCACGTCCACAATCAGGGAACTATTCAGAGTAAATCATTTCATATTAAGCCTCAATTAGGGACAAGACCTGCTTCGAAACTCACTCACATGACTGCGGGCAGTATTCTGTTTCTGGAAAGCTGTCAAACTAAAGCACCCGGTCATCTCTGGTGGTCTGTATGAGACAGCAGTGTTTAGAAAGGCCTCTGTAGTTTTCTCCATTATAGCAACCACTGAGAATAGCCAGAAAGAGTGTGTGTCAGTCTTTCGTCATCGGATCCCACTAGTGACTGTTGGACCCAACGAGATAGAACCAACTGGAGACCAGTATCAGACTCGAGCCCCGACTCGGGGGAGATAAACAGGTTTTATACACTTTTGAGGCCAGTAGTTTCCAGGCCTCCCATTCGAGAAAACTAGCAAAACAAGCAAAATGTACAGACGCAGAACATCCTGCGGTTAGAACGCTTCAAAGCCACCACTCAGCATAGTTCATTTTCTTCTAAGGGGAGGAGATTTCCAAACTTCCTCTTTCTGGGTTCACCTAAAGGACAGGCATATGGGTCAAGCAACAATATGGAGTCTGTCATATTAACTAAGGTCCTTCAGTGACATCCTGTCATTTTGCAGTGTTCTGGCCATTAGAAATGAGTCACTACATCCACCGTCAACGGAAGGAGGTTACACAAGAGTGGGTATGAATACCCAGAGACTGTAATCATTTGGAAATAATTCTTGAAAACTGCTTTCTGGGCTAAATACTGTTCCTCCAAAATTCAAGTCTACCTAAGCTTGTGAATGCAACCCTATGTGGAAATAGGAACTTTGCTGATATAATCTGGTCAAGACGAGGTCACCCTAGATTAGGGCAAGCCCTGAACCCAAGGGAACTGGTGTTCTTATAAAATGAGGGAAATGGGGGCCGGGGATTTAGCTCAGTGGTTTTGCCGCCTGCTGCACAAGTGCAAGGACCCAAGTTCGATCCCTGGTACCAAAAATAAATAAATAAATAAATAAATAAAATGAGAGAAATGTGGACAAGTACACAGAAGGAAAGATGGCCGCATGAAGATGGAGGCAGAGATGAGAGTTATGATGTCATGGTCAATGAATAGCAAAGATTGCTGCTGGCAATGCCCAGAAATAAGGAGAAACCAGGCTGGATTCTGCCCTCGAGCCTGCAGAGAGAGCACAGCCCTGCTGACACTTTGGATTCTCACTTCAAACATCCAGAACTACAAGAAAATTCATTTTCTTGTTTTCTCTCATCCAGTATGTGGTACTGTAGTCCAGCAGTCCCAGTGATCTCATATACCTCAGCTACCCTTCGTGATTATTAATGCACATAGAACACTTTTCCCTAGAAAAGTCAGTAAATATTAGCAGTTATGCTACACAAGTGTGTTCAAAACTGTCTGCGCACCCTTAATAAAATAGTGTAAGTAAAAACAAACTTTACATATTGTGATGTGCAGGCAATTGCTTCTCTATGAATGTATTTAACACTAATTTATTTGGAAAGCCTTCTCTTTTTATTTTATTTTTACTTTTTTTCCTAAATTTTATTTTATTAGTACATGTGTGCAGTACATGATGTTCACGTTCCCTGTGCTGAGTTGGTATATGTGCATCACACATCTTAATTCCTTTTTTCATTCCCTTTCCCTTTCTTCTCTCTCTCTCTCTCTCATCCACCCATCTCTTGATCCTTTTGCTTTGTTGTTTTGTTTTGTTGGTAAATATTTGTAGTACATAATGTTGACATTCCTTGTGTGGGCTTGGTACATGTACATAACACATCCTAATTTATTTTTTCATCCTGTATCCCTCCCTGCCCTCTCCTGTCCTTCCATCTCTTGTTCCTCTTCCTTTTTGAGTAAGATTTGTCTCCCTGCTTCCTGTTATCTTCTATTTTGCTCTTTGTTTTTTCTTTGGGTTTTCTCTTAACCTTGATGGGTTGGGGATCTGTTGTATATTCCCGTGTCATCTCACCCTATTTAATAAGAGCATCAATTAATAAGAGCTTGTCAATTACTTACTTGTATTTGTTTGCTTGATGACAATCCTGCCAGAGTTTATTCTGGCTCACAGTTTCAGAGGTTTTAATGCATGGTCAGCGGGCTCCAAAGCAAAAACATCATGGCAGAAACATCATGGTCAAGGAAAGCTGCTCAACTCAGAGTATTAAGAATTAGAGGTCAGGGGAAGAGCCCCAGTGATGCATTGAGACACGTCCAGAAGTGTGACTACTAATCTCCATGGAGTCTCTCAAGCCAATCAAGTCAACAGTCAAGATTAAGTGTCCCTTCTCAACAAATACTGTTGACTGAATTATTCAACCAGAAATCACATGCTAATTCTCATTTTAAATTCTACTGTAGGGTTGAGAGTGTAGCTCAGCCGTAGAGTGCTTGCTTAGCACATGCAAGAAGACCTTTGCTTCAATACCTAGCATTAAAAAAAAAAGTTCTATTGTAGAATATGTTTTGGAGGTCTTAAAGGGGAATTAGGATGGGATGCAGAAACTTCAGGAACATCTAATTTGAGGGTAATTGGATGTGTTTTCTTCCATATCTCACTTAATGGCTAACTTTCTTTCTCAGAGAACCACATACAGAAGACACCATCACAAGAGAATGTTTGGGTGAGTGGGGTGAAGCCTGGGCTTGGGAAATAGCTAGTAAGTCTTACCATGTTACTGTCGTACTCAAACTCTACCGTGAAGCCCTATGCTTTTTAAGATAGAATACTTCTCATCAAGGTACAATTTAGTCCTCTGTCCAATGAGGAAACTGGCAATATTTGGGGGCACTTTTTGTTATCAAAACCCAGGGATGATTGCTATTGGCACCTAGTTGTTAGAAACTATGGATACAGCTCAACTTCCTGGAGAACTTGAGACCCAGAACAGCCTACCTCAACAAAGAATTATCTAGTCTCAGAGGTCAATAGACATTGAGAAACTCTGAAATAGGTTTACACTGCCTCAGATGTCATTAAACAACCTGCATCAAACATCAAGAGCTTCATTCCCACCCCACCTCATAGTACAATAATAAATGTTGCCAGGGCTGGGGATTTAGCTCAGTGGTGCCGCTGCCTGCCTCGCAAGCGCAAGGTCCCAAGTTGGTTCCCCTGTACCAAAAAAAAAAAAAACTGCATAAATAAATGTTGCTTTCTGGGTTCATTTAGTGATTTATCCATATTCCTGATTTCTTAAGTTTCAATGGGAGTCCTCCTAATTAGTTCTCTATCTTTGAAAGGAACTTTCAACGCAAAATATTAGCAAAAAAGAAATTGCGAAAAGGGTTACCCGACTACTTCATCATGTGGAAATGACTATATGGAATCAGAGTTTTGATTCTCCAGGAAAGGGTAATAATCCTTCACTTAATATAGGTAAGAGATACTAAGTGGGTGCCCATAACCACCTTAAAGAGATACGGGTCTGGTATAGACAAGGCCTGAAATCTGTCAGCTCTCAGGATGACAGAGTTGTCCCTCCAACACTGTCTGTGAGTAGTCCGCTTCTTTGAAAATATAAATTGAAAGAATAAATGAATAAAAAAGAATAAATGAATAAACCAGCTCTGCCCATGTTTCTAATGCTTGGTATGTTATAAACTGTGCAAAATCCCATTCCCAAAGAAGGGAGTTCTTCAATAGATTTCTGAGGTGTGAGAAACAAGTATAGCAGGACTCGATTTTCTTAATATTTCAGTCTATGAAACCAAGAAATGTCATGAGAAGACCTTTTTGGAAGCTGGAAATAACACAATGAATATCAATTGTGCTGGTGCTTTCAAAGGAGCCAGAAAAGGTACTGGATCTAAGAGGAATTTTATTGAACCCAAAGTGTAAGCGTTGTCTTATTTCTATAAGTTACTGTGTCAGTAGGGGGAATCCACAAAGTTTTCAAGTTCAAGAGACTCTACATGCTGAAATGAAAAGATCTTCCTTGACCCCATATCAGGCAATTTGGGGAATAAAGTTGGATTCTCATATGGAGTGTGTACTTTGCAATTCATGCTGAGGTTAAAACAAGGCTCTACTGATGCACTTCCTTAAAATGGACAGGCTAATGCAGGTCCTGTTTCCGTGTAATTGTCTGAAAATGTCACATAACAGTGGTAGATGATCATTGTCTTAATCAGTCTCTTTTTTGAGATTTGTGTTATGAACACCCTATTAAAAGTAGTCTCAAAACTTCCCTCCATTGGCAACTTCTTCTGTAAACTTCTTCTGTTGGCAAACTTCTTCTGTAAAAGGACTAGAAAATAAATATTTTAGATTTGGGGGCCAAATTACCTGTGTCATAAGTACTCGACTATGTCACAGTAGCATGAAAGCAACAGTAGATTATGTAGAAATGAAGCAGTGTGGCTTTGTACCAATAAAACTTTATTTGGAGAAACATATGGCAGGCTGGTCTTGCTCTTCATGCCATAGTTTGCCTCCTGTACCTGACTCCTTCACCATAATTTTGGGAAGCACCTGCAATATGTAATATCTTTCTAATTCATTTATTTATTTATTGTCCATATCTCCTAGTATGATGTCAACTCTCTGATGGCAAGGGCTTTGTTCTGTGTACCACTCTATCATAATGCCTATGATGTCTGGCACAGAGTAGGTGCCCAGGAAATACATGATGACAGAATGCATGCATATAAAATATTTCAAAGACAGACACACGGTTGCCTTGAGACACTGAGAAGCCTGCTTTGTATACTCCAGAAAATGCCTGATTACCAATTAACATTCATTCTTTACTGTGAGATGTGGGGTAGGGGAAGGTAGGGAAAAGATGTAACAATGAGTTGGTTTTTTAATGGAGTAAATTATAATGTGAGTGGTAAATGACTTTGGCCAAAATGAAAGTGTGGCCCACGAATAATTGCACTTTGGAAGAGACTACACCATGCTACAGAGCACCTTGTGTTCATTTAATTTCTGTGAATTAAATTGTAAATTTTCACCCAAAAAAAAGGAGGGAGAAGAGAAGGAAATGGAGAGAAAATGATAGAGACAGAAAGAGAGAAGGGAAAGAGGGGAGAGAGAGAGAGAGAGAGAGAGAGAGAGAGAGAGAGAGAGAGAGAGAGAGAGAGAGAGAGAGAGAGAGAAAGTTAATTAAATATAATAAATTAAATATAATAAGACATCCTGCATACTTTTCACGTACATTAGTGTGAGCTTGAAATGGAAGATGGAAATGTATGATTTCTATAGCCAACCAACCCTTCTGGTACAAGCATGTTGCATAACAACACTGATTTTGATAGCAAAGGAGTTGTATATTTTTATATACCATTGATAGAAATATTTTGCACATAGACCTCTTATAATGTGTAGGGCATTATGTGTTCCAGATTCTGCAACCTAAACCACTTTTAGTATATTATCTGTGCAATTTAAAGGATTTCCACAGGTAATTTTAATTGTGCATTGTATTTACTTTATGCCCTCACATAAGACAAAAGTGTTCCATCGTCTTAAATGTGGACACCTTCTAACATTATTTCTCTCGATTTTCTTAGATGTGAGTACAGTTGCTCTTATCACTTATGAATCTCTTGGGAATATTCTGAATGGATCCTTTTTTAACAATTCAAGAGGAATGCAAGGAGTAAAGCTGAACTCTCATGTTGTGAGTGGCACAGTTGGTTTGCAAGACAAAGTTTACCTGTCTGAACCTGTGCTCCTGACTTTTCAACATACTCAGGTGAGCATAACCCAGTGCTGCCTCTCTCTGCAGTGCTATGAGTGGGAAAGTGTCCCCATATGGAACTGAATCTGACTGTCATCATTCAGAAGTAAGAGAACAGATAAGAAATGTTGGGGCGACTTCAAAGAGCTATCACCTTGATGCATTGGGATGACTATTATCAAAAAGTCAGACATATTGATGATAAAAGAGACACTTGAACACAGTTACTGGGAATGTAAATTAGTACAGCCATTACAATGTGAAGATGCCTCAAAAATTAAAAATAGATATGATATTAATAATTTTTATCACTGGTATAAAATATCTGACATACAAACCTGAAAGAAGAAAAGGTTTATTTTGGCTCACGGTTTCAGAAGTTTCAGTCTATGGTTGGTAGGCTCCAGGGCAGAAATATCATGGCAGAAGGGCAGAAGTAGCAGCCAGAAAGCAGAGAGAACAGGAAAAAAGAGAGGGAGGGACAGAGATTGAGGGCCAAGGACAAGAATACATCCTTCAAAGGTATGCCCTAGTTCCCTACACCCTCTAACCAGTCCCCACTGCCTAATAGCACCTTAAGCTATGAGCTCATCAACGGAGTGTCCCATTTATGAGGTTAGCACCAGCAGGACCTAGTCACCTTCCAAAACCCCCACATCCAAACACTTGAGACTTTTGGGGGATATTTTCAATCCAAACCATAACATTCCATGCTTGGACCCTGAAGTCTCATGTTCATCCCATTTGGCAAAATGCATTCAGTCCACTTCTAAGCATTGCTAAAGTCTCAACAGTTCCAATATTTCTCAAAAGTTATTAATATGAAGTCCCCCAGAGTCTCAAGGCAAACTCTTAGCTATGAACCCCTACAAAAAAATTTTAAATCCAAGTTACATAATGCCAACATACAATAGCACAGAATAATCACAAAGGGGAAGAATAGAGCAATAGAAGGAAATGGAATCAAAGCAAGACTGGCAGGACACACATTAAATTCTGTAGCTCCAGGTCTGGCTCCTGGGGCACAGGGTGGCATAACATGAGCTCCAAAGAGCTTGGGTGGCCCCAGCCTTGTGGCCTTGTCTCTCTTTTGGTGTCTTCACTCACTTCCTGCAGCTATACTTTGCATACATTCCACATTCCTGGTATTTCCAGCTTTCTGGGATCTCAATTGCTGTTTCATCTTCACTCTGACAGCTTCACACATCACCCTCTCCCATCCTTCTGGTGGGGACTATGAACCTGTCACATATTGGCTAGCCTCCCGTCTTAGTTACTTTTCCTCTTTGCTGAGACAAGATACTTGACACCCAAAGTTAAAGGAGGAAAGATTTATTATACCTCATAGTTTGTAGAGATTTCATAGTCAGCTGTCTCCAGGGAATGATGGGACAGCTAAAGGGCATTGTAGAGGGGAAAACAGTTCATGGCAGGAAGATGGCAGCAAAGCAGCAAAGCAGCAAGCAATAACCACAGCCCTCTTTCTGTCCCTTATATTCCATCCAGGATACCTGCCCTTAGGGCAGTAGCACTCACACCCAGGGTGGGGAACCCTTAATCCTAACATCATACCATGAATCAATCCCAGCATCCCATCCTTGATTGCAGCATTACACACTCTACATCCAGCCACCTCCAAGAAGCCTCACCTATGATCATGTGAGGCTTTGAAGGGACATCTAGATACAAGCCATAACATCTCCCAAGTCTTCCTTTTTTTGTAGTACTTGGGACTGAACCCAGGGCCTTCCTACTGAGCTACCTCCCATGCCCTTTTTTGACATTTTGAGATAGGGTCTCACTGAGTTTTTAACTTGTCCAGGCTGGACTCAAACACACAATTTCCCTGCCTCACCTCCCCAGAGTGCTGGGCTTCCAGGCATGCACTACTATGCCTGGCTCCATGCCTTCCTTTGAAATCTAGGTGGAAACTCCTGTGACCATATAACTCTTGCTTTCTACATGCCTGTAAATCTAGCATTACGTAGATATTGCCAAGGCCTGCTGCCAACGTGAGCAGTGTTTTGCTCCCCTTGAACCATGGCCACAGTGACCTCTGAGTACCTGGAAGGCTGAGCAGGGGAAACACTTCCCTGGGTGGCCCTGAGTGAACAGGGCACCCTGGGATTCTGTTTTCAAAGCCAGGTGTTTCAAAGGAGTTTGCACTTTTACACCTATAACCTGTGATAGCTGCAGTCTGGTTAATTCCCAAAATATCCCCAAGGCGTTTTTCCTGTTACCGTGGTGCAAAGCACTTGTGTTCTCTGTAATGGTGGTGATCTCTACAACACCTTCACACTTTCTTCCTACCTTCTTCGGTCCCAACTTTACACATGCCTATTTTGTGGACAAACTGCAAGTTTTTCAAAGCTTTTAACCCTGCTTTTTGCTCTCAGTTCACCCTGAAAATCTAAGTAAAATCAGTCAGCAATCTCCATGCTGTTACCTGAACTTTGTGCTATCTTAAAATCTCCTGTGCCAGATCCATTAGCTCACTGTCTTTAAATACAGCCTCACCAAAGTTTCAAGCCATAGATAAATCATAGACAAATTCTTTGCCAAAATGAAACATGTATGCCCTTTAGTCCACTTCCCAAGAGAGCCCTCATTTCTGTCGGAAACCTCATGAACATGGTCTTCCTTGTCTGCATTTTCATCAGCAATCTGGTCTTCTGAGCCCAAACCAAAATCACCTATCAAGCAATACTTTCAGGATTTTAGGCTTTCTCTGTCTTGTTTGTGCAACTTTGCCCAAAATCTTCCCATGCAACAGCTCCAGATCTACTGAGCCACGTGATCAGTTTAGTCATAGCAATGGCTGCTCTTCTCAGTATCAGTTTTCTGTATCAGCTTTTTGTCCCTGGGACAAAATACCTGACATATACAGCTGAAAGGAAGAAAGGTGTATTTTGGCTCATGGTTTCAGAGGTCTATTGTTCCCAATTCCAGGGTAGAAAGGACATGACAAAGTAAAACTGCTCACCTCATGGCAAGTATTAAGAAGGGAATGTTGAAGAGCCAAAGAAAGAGGGAGAGACCAGAGTACAGCTTTCAAAGACATGCTCCCTCGGCCAGGGATTTAGCTCAGTGGTTCTGGTGCCTGCCTAGCAAGCGCAAGGTCCTGAGTTCGATCCCCAGTACCAGAAAAAAAAAAGACATGCTCCCTTCCTCCAAGCAGGCCTTGACACCTGACAGGACATTCAGCTGTGAAATCAGATGATTAGGGCCCCATCTCAAAAGCCCACCTCTGAACACATAAGAATTTGGGCATTTTTGATCTAAATTTTGGACGTTTTTGGACATTGATCTAAATTTTTGATATTTTTTTATCTAAATGATAAAAGATATGATCCAGCAGTCCCATTGCTGGGTATATATCCAAAGGGATGGAAGTCAGTATATGGAAGAGACAGCTGCACCCCTGTGTTCATTGGGGTGCTATGCATAATGGCATAAATATGAAAACAAGCTAAGTGGCCATCAACTGATGAAGTGATAAATAAAATATAGAAAAAATAAAATTATATGCAGCCTTAGAAAGAAAAGAATTTTGCCATTTACAAAAACATCACAGGGGACATTTTGCTAAATAAAATAAGCCAGCCACAGAATGATAAAAACTGTGTGATCTCAAATACATATAGAATCTAAGAAATTTGAATTCATTGTAACAGAGCATAGAATGCTAGTTAGGAGAAAATGGTGGCCAAAGATTACAAACATAATAAAATTAATAAATTCTAAAAATATTTGTACTATATGGTGACTACACTCATTAGTAATGATTTCTGTATTTGAAATTTCCTTAGAGTGCATTTTCAGTTTCCTCACCACAAAAAGAAAATGCAAGGTGATGGACATGCTAATTAGTTTGGTTATGGTAATCATTCATAATGCATGTGAATATCAAAGCATCACATCATAGATCTTAAATGTATATGATTTTAATTGCTCATCACACCTCAATAAATCTGGAAAAAGACACGCCAAGACACCCAAAGACAGTCACGAGGGAAACTAATCTCACCATAAAGCCTAAAAAGCCAATGGAGTGGAGAGTAGCATTGAGCCACGTGGGAGTCAGATTCAGGGAGAAGGAGAAGGTCATCTGCTGGTGAGGAAGAGCAGATAAGGAAGCCTATGGAGGCATTTGGCATCTCTCTTCTCCCATCCAGTGATCTCTCACTCACTGGTGCCCTTACTGGTTTTATCAATGACAAGAAACTTGAGTGAATCAGCTCATAAGCATCAATGCTCAGTGAACTAAGACAGCTATAGAGGGGAAGAATAAATGAAGAATAAGCCCCCCCCCGGCAGGTGTGGCGATGGAAACACCTCACAGGTGTTCAGAATCAGGTTTCCAACCCACTGCATTGGGTTAATATGTAAAGTTGAAATAATAAAACTGGAAGGAGATTCACCTTCATACTATTGCCTTTGCAGCCTGGGATTGAGAATGTACAGCATTTCTGTGTCTACTGGGAAGGATCAGAGGAAGGGGGCAGCTGGTCAACAGAGGGCTGCCTTCGAATGGGCAGGAATGATTCCTACACCACATGCAAGTGTTACCACCTGTCCAGCTTTGCTGTCCTCATGGCTCTGAGCCCCAAGGTACCAAGATTCATGATTCCATTGCATGGAAGCTCTGAGCTCATCTGCTACATATTTTTAGAAAAAGACTTTACAACAAGGAGTCAAGTGGTAGCTTACATGAGAGGTGATTTAAAGAAACACCAGTAATAATGGGGAAATGATGTGGAAAAATGATGGAAACCAGTACAGAGAACATTATCAAGCCAGTTCCCACTGTGGGTCACCAAGCTTATTTATTCTGGGGACTCTGAGGGTTGATATAAAAAGCACACATCAAAGTCATCCTTAGTACATGGAGACAGAACTAGGGTATTTATGCATCAACCACTTTTAGTCATTTGTTTGTAACTGTGTTCAGAGGGCGTTAACTCCCTAACACTTTCATAGGCATAGTTGAGCTCAAGACCCATGCATTGAAGCTAACATGAAAAGCCAACAGACACTGGGAAGTTGGTTGGCAGCCTTTACAGGAGTAAGGTCCAAGGGATTCTGGAATTGAAAGCATCTGTTACTTTGTTAGATGGAGTTACTACCAAACCTCCCTGGTCAGACCAGATGAGAAAGCACAGCCCTTGTCTTAGTAACTTTCGGCCTGCTGAGAGACAATACCCAACATTCACAACTTAAAGGAGCAGAGGATTATTTTGGCTCACAATTTCAGAAGTTTCAGTCAGTGGTAGGCAGGCTCCAATGCAGAAACAGTACAGTGGAAGGAAGGGCCTACTATGGAGGAAAACTTCTCACTTCATGGCAGACAGGAAGTGGAAGGAGAAGGGGAAGCTGGGACAAGAATAAACCCTTCCGGGTTATGCCCCTCAGTGACCCACCTCCAATCAGGCCCCACCTCCTATCAGCACATTCAGCTACTAAACTCATCAAAGATAAACCATTGGTGAATAGAGCATCCCCATGATCCAATCACCTTCCAAAGGTCCCACCTCTGAGTGTGTGAGAGTTTGGCAAACATTCTGGAACTAAACCATTGTAGTTCTCTGGACTTTCTAGATCCCAGCTAAATCTAGGATAACTCAGATTAAAAGAAATTTCCTTAACTCCTCTTATTTTTTAATCTTCAATTTATTAAATATTTATATGATGACCAACTTGTTCTATCCTTCATAGACATGGCCTCATTTTATTGGTCAAAAATATTTATTAAGTGCCTATTATGTGCCAGGCACTGTTCTAGACATTGAACATGCAATAGGGAACAAGACTTTTTAAAAAAACTAGTTTTCATTGAGATTAATGAAACAGTTGCACTATTAAATAAAATCATCATCCGTGGCTATAGAACACTTAAAATTTAGCCAAGTACAAATGAAAAACTGAATTTTTAATGTTACTTCATTTTAATCAGTTTTAAATTTAAAAACTGGAGCAGTATGAAGTATTTTTCTGTTAAAAACAACTTTATTCTTTGATAGGATTACTGTGTAGGAATTTAAATGTGTTGTAAGTGTAACATATACACAAAGTTCAAAAGCCTAATATAAAAAAACGGTCAAATTTTTCACTAATAATTGTTTCCATTAACACTGATTATTCACAGGACTAATAATATTTTAAAGCTATTGGGTTAGGTAGAATACATGATTGAATTAATTTTACCTGTTCTTTTTAATATTTTTAATTTACCTATTGGAAAATGTTCAGTTAAACACGAGTTTCCCATATCCACTATGTCCATTGGACAGCTTCTACCTCGTAGTGTTGTTTTTGCCGCAGTCCCGTGTAGTAAATCTCTTTCCATTCTGCAGAGAGCACCACATTAGAAAGCGTGAGTGACCAGTGTTGGGGGGAGTAGTAAGCTCATGTGACTCTGTCGGGAGGGCAAGTTGCAAAGTGTACGACGCTCCTCCCTTGGTGGCTTGCAGGAGGGCCCTGTGCTGACGGTGATCACCTACGTGGGGCTGAGCCTCTCCCTGCTGTGCCTCTTCCTAGCAGCCGTCACCTTCCTGCTGTGCCGACCCATCCAGAACACGGGCACCACCCTCCACTTGCACCTTGCTCTCTGCCTCTTCCTGGCCCACTTCCTGTTCCTCACAGGCATCAGAAGAACTGAGCCTAAGGTGGGTGATTTAAACTAGTTACCTCGTCCTAGCCCAATCTGGCCATCTCATTCTAAAAGGTGAGGGGAGAGACGTTAATTAATCAGCAGGGATGGTGTGAGAGAAAAGAAAGAGTCCTGAATTCAGCTCTTCTCCTGTATAACTTGAATGAGACCACACTTTTTGACTGTAATTTGAGTGACTGAGAGTCCTACAGATTTAGACCCGGAAAAAATAGCTGCTGTAACAAATAAACTCTACAATGTCTTAGCACAATGTTAGTTATTTTCTTCCTTACCTTTCATTAGAGGAGAACAAACAGATTTGACGGGCGTCAGTCATCCGCATCAGGCTGAAGGAGGCTTTGTTAGGTTCCATACACAGCTTCCAAGCCCATCCTGTGGTCCTTCCCATTTTATTTCTATTATTTTAATTAATGTTTTATTACTGTATATTTGTAATACATAATCATTGTGTTCACTTGGGGGATTTGATACATGTATATAACATGCCTTGGTCATTTTTATGGCTTTATTTCCCTTCTCTTACTGCCCCACTCCCCCGATCTCTTTCTTCACCTCTGTAAAGTCTGCCTTCTTCTTTTTTCATCTCTCCTTTATCGTAATCATTTATTTATTAATATTTTAGGTGTCTCACATAAGATAAACCATGCAGTATTTAACTTTCTGTGCCTGGCATGTGTCGTATAACATGATGACCCGAAGTTCCATCAATATTCCTGCAAAGGAAATAATTCCATTCTTTGTTACTGTGTAATATATTGCATTGTGTATGCATACCATGTTTTTTGTATCCATTTCTCTGTTGGTGAGGGTTCAGGCTGTATCCAGAGCTCAACCACTGTGAATTTTGCTTGTATAAACCTGAGTATGCCTGTATCATTATACTATGACATCTTTAACTCTTTCAGGAATATAGCCAGGAGAGTCATAGCTGGGTTAAACGGAATTTCTGTTTTAATTTTTTGAGCTCTCTCCATATTGATTTCCATAATGGCTTATAATAGTTTACGTTTCCAACAACAATCCAAAAGGGTTCCTTCCTCCTTGCATCCCCACCAGCATTTGTTGTTTATTATGCTCTTCATGATAGCCATTTCAATGTGTTGTATTTATTGATAGACATATGTTGTACCATTCCTGCACTTCTGGGACCAAGCTGTCTTGGTTTGGGTTTCTTTTTAATAATTTTTTGAGTTATTTTGTAGGTACGTTGAAGATTTTTGCATCTATGTTCAACAACAATATTGGGGTGTGGCTTTCTATTGCATTAAGTCCCTATCTGGCTTTGATCCTAGGGAAATTCTGGCTTTATGGAATGAGTGTGGAAGAATTCTTTCTGTTTCAATTGGATAGATAAGTTTTAGGAGTGCAAGTTTTAGCTCTTTTCTAGAATTTTAGCAAAATTCTATAGCAAATCCATTGGGTTCTGAGTTTCTCCTCATTGGTTGAGTTTTTATTATGGCATTAATTTCATTGCTTGTTTGTTCTGTGTTCTGAGGTTTCCTATCTTCTTTGTTCAATTTTGGTAAATCATATGTTTCTAGGAATTTATACCTTTCTTCCATATTTCCCAATTTATTGGAATATGTTTTCAAAAGAATGTCTTGTGATCCTCTTGATTTAACTGGCATCTGTTGTAATTTCCGTAAAGGCCAGGCTCAGGACATTTCAGTTGGGAGCACGACTCCATTTGCAGTTGTAATAAAGATCATGTGTGTTGTGCTCTGGCAGATAATCTGTCCACATTTTGTCCTGAGACTTTGCAGAGACTCAGAATAACAGTGGTAGAGCACACTTCTGGGTGGGTCATGGAGACATGACTGGGCACTATATGTGGCCCCTGTCCTATTTCTGGGCTGGCACTGCTCCCCTGCGCTCTGCTTCCCAGCTGCCAGGAACTAAACATCTTTGTTCCATCCATGTTTCTACCATGATGTTTCTGCCTTGGAGTCATCTGACTCTGGGGTGAATCTGCCAAAACCATGAGCTAAATTAAACCTCTCCTCCTCTAAGTTTGGGGTGTCAACTACTATGTCCATTGATAGAAAAGAAGACTGATATGTTTACACTGATTCCTGTCATTATATTATTTTTTCATTGCTTGATTCCTTTCCATTTTCTTCTTATTGAACTACTCTCCTAGTTAGGTATATTCTTTCCTTTGGGCTCTTGGATAATATTATCTTCTGTGTCTCTGTTTAGGAGTCTATTTGGTTTAGTGATCATTATTTTCCTTAGTTTATCCTTATTATGAGAAGTCTTTATTTCTTCTACAATTTTGAAGGATATTTTTTCTAACCTGGGTTAGCAAAATTGGGGTGGGGCATTAAAAACTTTACTCCAAGCTCTCCTTCCTATTCTTTAATATTTGTGCTGAAAAATCTATTTGTTATTCTGATGGGTTTGCCATTATAGGCAATTTGGTGCATCTTTCTAGTAGCTTTTAGTAATCTCTTTTTTTTTCTGAGTCTGTAGGATGTTGACTATGATGCGTTGAGACAGTGCTTCACTATGTGGTACCCCATGAAAACATATAATTATTAGGCTCTTCAAAAATAAAAATTTAAAAAGAAAATATAATGAAGTCAGGCTCATATTAGTAAGATGTACTGTTCAGACACTGAAGTTGAGACATAAAATACACAATTGAAAATACGAGTTTTGAGGCCAGAAATGACTGGAGTGAGAGAGAGTGAAATCACATGAAGGAGGAAGTTCAGGACACAGAAACTGATATGATCATACTAATAAAGCTTGATGTGAAGTGGATTAAAGCTGGAGCCCCATGGAAGACCAACATTTCAAGACTGGGAAGAAGGAGATACACAAGAAGATTCAGAGATAAGCATTGCATTATGATTTGTGTTTAGATGCCCCCCTCCCCCCAAAGCCTCATGCAGTTGAGCTGGGACTTTCTTTTTCAGAGGTAGTTGAATCTGGAATGTGTGACGCTGGGAGTAAGGGCACATGATTACTAAACTACTACATGTCAGTGACAGGTTTGGGACCACCCTAATCCTGGTAGTCTGGATGGGATAAAAGAGGCAGAAAGACCCTGCGAAGGGCTCTCTTGTTACCTTTGTTGCCTTGTGCACCATGTTGTTTCTCCTCTGTGATGCTTGTTTGTCATCCCAGCCTTGGAGCCAGCTGATTATGGACTGAAACCTCTACGAACTGTAAGCCAAATAAAACTTTTTCCCTTTTAACTTTGGATGTCAAGTATTTTGTCTCAGCAACAAGAGAAAAGTAACACAAAGTGTTTGGAGAATTCCTGGTCTGATGGGTGTTCTGGGAAGCCAAGGAGAGGAAGTGGTAAGCAGGCTGGTCAAATTCTTCCTAAAAGTCAGGTAGAGACTGCTGAGCTTAGTGATTAAGAGTTTGTATTAGTTAAAGTTTTCCAGAGAAACCGACCCAGCAGAATGTATATCTAGAGAAGAAAAGACTTGGTTTAAAGAATTCGTTCACAGGTCATGGAACATTTCAAATCTGAAACTTGCAGAGTGGGTCAGTAGGGTGGAGATCCATGGAACAGCCATGATCACAACTCTGTTCCAAAGATGTGGTGTGGGCAGAATTCCCTCTAACTCGGGAGGGTTTCAGTCTTGGTTCCACTCATGACTTCAACTAATTGAACAAGGTCCACCAACTATCTGGAGAGCAATGTCCTCTATTGAAATGTGAATTCCTGGGCCGGGGATTTAGCTCAGTGGTTCTGCCACCTGCTTCAAAAGCGTAAGGTCCTGAGTTCTATCCCCGATACCAAAAAATAAATGTGAATTCCTTCCAAGAACTCATTCTCGATACCCTCACACTCACACACATTGAGAATAATGTTTGAGCACAAATTGGAAGACTGGTTCAGCCAAGTGGACACATGAAATTAGCCATCACAAAGGTGAAAAAGGGACGTTTTCAAATGCAAAAAAATGAGTCTTCCTTTAGGTAGAGTGTTGGCAGGAACCTGCAAAATAAATGACTTTGGATTATTTTTGTTTATTCAGATCCAGTGTTGTGGCTTCCCCAGGACAGAGGATATCTGGTATATCTTTTCTTTTTTTTTTTTTGGTACTGGGGATCGAACCTGGGAACTTGTGCTTGTGAGGCAGGCTGCGGAACCACTGAGCTAAATCCCTGGCCCTATTTGCTATGTCTTGAGACCTAAGACCTTAGAATTTGTGGAGCTTATCAGACTTAAAACTTGTCTCCTGGGCTGGATTTGTAGCTCAGTGGCAGAGCCCTTGCCTAGAGTTTGTGAAGTCCTGGGTTCAAACTCCGGCACAACAGAAACAGAAATCAAAAGGCAAAACAAAATAAAACTTCTCCCTGTTTGTTAATGATAAAAATCCTCCTTTGCTGTCAAAATGTTTTATTAACCACATAGTACCACATTCATTTTAGATATGGTGTAATTCACTATGTAAATGTGTGATTTTTCCGTTTTTTTATTAGCACGTTTGAAGTACGGAATGATTACATCCCTCATGGGAAATTATTACGTGTACATAACACACCTTAATTCTCTTTTTACCCCACTCCCTCCATTCCTTCCCCTTCCCTCCATCTCTTGGCCTCCTTCCCATCTGCAAAACGTCAATCTCCCTGCTTCCTGTTATCTGCATTTCATGTTGCTCTTTATTTATATTTTGGGTTTCTCATATAAGAGAAACCATGTGATATTTAGTTTTGTGTGTCTGATTTGTTTTATTTAACATTAAAATTTATCATTTCAGCCATTTTAAAGTGTTCACTTCAGGAGCATTTAATATTTTCGCATTGCCATGAAATCATCATTACTATCTTGTTCCACAAAAATGCAATCACACCGGAGGAAATACCAGACCCATAAAGCAATTTACTCCCTATTTCCTCTCCCCAGCCTCTGGCTATTGCTAATCTGATTTTAGTCTCTTACAGACTGCCTGCACTAGCTATTTCATGTAAATAGAATTGTAGCATATGTGGCCTTTTGTGTCTGGCTTCTTTCCCTGAGCATGATGTTTTCAAGGTTTATCCATATCATAACATGTTTTGAGAACTTATTCCTTTTAATTGCCAAATAATATGCATATGTTGGGGTATACCATATTTTGTTTAACTATTCTTCAGTTGATAGACTTTTGGGTTGTTTCTACCATTTGCCTATTGTAAATAAAGGTGCTGTGAACATTCTTGTTCAAATTTTGTTTTAATATTTGCTATCTTTTTTTTAGGCAGATATCTAGGAGTGGGATTGTAGGGTTGAATGGCAGTTGTGCTTCATTTATTGAGGAACTCATTATTGGAAGATTTTAAACTAACTTCTTTAATAGAAAGCTGTTTCAGACAACTATTTTTTTTAAGTAAATGAGTATTTTGTATTCTTCAATAACTTTGTCAAATTCATCTAAGTCGTCATTTGTGAAGTTGTTTGTAATATTCCTCATCCTTTATATCTATGTAGAAACTGAAAAATGTCATCTCTAATTCCTGATATTTGTACTTACATTGTCTCTCTTTATCTGCCTCACTATAGCTAGAGTTTGGTCAATTTTATTGATTTTCTCAAAGAATCAGCTGAAGAATTATTTTTTTCTATCACTTTTCTATTTTGTATTTCATTGATATTTTACTCTTTTATCTTGATTATTTCCTCCTGATTCTTTTTGGTTTAATTTGATCTTATGTTTCTAAATCTTTCAGTTTTACTAATATGAGTTTATTGCTATGAATTTCCTTCTAATCATTGTCTTAGTTGTATTTAATAAATTTTGATGTTGTTCTTTATTTTTTTCTAAGTTCAAGATACTTTCTCATTTCCTTTGTGTTTCTTTCCCTTTTTAGTTATCGTCTCATTTCATTTAGATTATTTTGGTTGCTTTTAACTACACATTTTATTATTGCTTTTTAAATACATGTTCGCAGTACATAATGTTTAGATTGCTTGTGTGGAGTTAGTTTATGTACATCACACATCTGAATTCCTTTATTCATCTAGTACATTCATCTTGAGGAATTGGTACATCTCACATCTTACTCATTGCATTTCTCCTCCACCTTCCTGCTCTCCCATCGCCCCTCATCCTCACATTCCTTCCCATCTCCACAAAATCTACCATGATTCCTCTCTCTCTCTCTCTTTTTTTTCTTTTTTTTGATACTAGGGATCAAACTTGGGACCTAGCAGTTGCAAGGCAGGTGGCAGAACCACTGAGCTAAATCCCCGGCCCTCTTCCATGATTCCTATAATCTATTTTTTTTTATTTTGCTCCTTAAATTACTTATGGGTTTCTCATATAAAAGAGACCAGTGTGATATTAGACCTTGTTTATCTGGTTTGTTTTGCTTAGCATTATGGTCTCAAGGTGCTTCCATTTTCCTACAGATGACTCAAATGTATCCTTCATGGTTCTTGTGCTGGGTGTGAGGGTTAGTTTGATGTGTCTTAGTATTGCTGTGAAAATATTTTAAAATCTACCATCAGTTGGTTTATGTATGCAGACAACCTTCTGGAAAGCAGGTGGAACTCATCCAATCATTTCAAGGTCTGGGGAGTAAAATGGAACTGAGATTTCCTTTGGAAGAAGGAATGTTTTCTCAAGACTGTTGCAGAAACCCCTGCTTGGATCTGCATCCTGCGAGTCTGACTTACTGTTCTTGAATTGTCATTCCCTACTGATTCAGATAGTGCCAATTCCATAAAATAATTTCCTTAATATATCTACATGTATCTATCCTGTTGATTTAATATCTTTGGACAATACTTGGGGCTCACTGAGATTTTAAAGAATTCATATTGAGAAAAACTTCAGTTGTAATCTCTCCAAATACATTTTTTCTGCTTTCTCTGATCCTATTTTTCTAAAGACAGGTATTAATCTGTTAATGTTGTTTACAAGTCACTGACATTTACTAAATTTTTAAGTATATTTTTTCTTGGCATCCCTGTTTTTGCATAGTTTCTATGGTTTCAATTGGTATATCCTTAAGTTCCATAATATTTTCTTCTTCAGGGCCTAATCTACTTTTAATCCCATTCAATGTCTTTTTCATCTTAGTGATTGTATATATGTTTTTAGCGCTAGAAATTTGATTTGATTCCTTGTTGTACCTTCCATTTTTCTCTTATCATGGTCATCATGGGTTCCAGTACTTTTTTGAACATATATGATAAGCATTCAAGAAGAAAAAGAAATAAATGCCATCCCAGCTTCTGTGGTTTGTGTAACTCTTTCTGAAAGACCCATATACATGTGACTTAGTCTAAGAAAGTTCTTTCAAAAGTGTGGTACTTGAGGTGTTTGTAGATCAAAATTAGACACGTTTCCAAATTTAATTTCCTAGTATTTATGTTTATGAATAGGCTACTTTCTCATGTCATATGTTTCCACCTATGGAAAGTGATATGTTAGTCTTTAAAGTAGTGCATTAATTAGTATTGAGATAGCTTTGGTGAATGGTAGCTGTTGCTCTCCATGGATTCATTTGTCCTAACAACAAATGACATTTGAGTGTGATATGTTTACTCAGGATTGATCTAGGATACATTGGCCTGTGATGAGGAAATAAGACAGAGGTGAAAGACAGCTAATAAATAGGTGTGTTTTCAAATAAATTTGCACTCTGGGCACCAGAAGTGCTTGTCTGATAATCCTATCAGACAAGATCGGGCACGTTCAGGATGGTAAGGCCATAGACTGGTTAATCTCATCAAAGACCTGCAGGAGGCGCCTTGCAGCATGGACCTTAAAGTCCTCAGACTCAAAATGCAATGGCAAGGAGTCACTCACTGTGCATTTGGTGTCTGCTCCAACAACATTTACTGCTTAACATTTCTGCCTTGGTCTACTCATGGGACAAGCAAGTTTCAGTAGGCAGCAGAAGCTCCCAGAAAATATATTGTTCCTGGGGAAAATGTCCCTGGTATCCAGCGTCCAGGGAATGTAAGTACCGAGGCACATCCTACATCTACTCCACCCTTGCTCTTCTCTGCTTCCAGGTGCTGTGCTCCGTCATTGCAGGAGTGCTGCACTTTCTCTACCTGGCCGCCTTCATCTGGATGCTCCTGGAGGGGCTGCACCTCTTCCTCACCGTCAGGAACCTCCAGGTGGCCAACTACACCAGTGCAAGAAGATTCAAGAAGAGGTTCATGTACCCTCTGGGCTACGGCATCCCAGCTGTGATTGTCACTGTGTGTGCAATCGTCGGACACAAAAATTATGGAACAAGTACTCAGTAAGCAAAAGATGTGTGTATGGTGGAAATTGTATCTGTAGCCCATGCATGCTTTGAAATTAAAATGTTTGTTTTAAAATACATTTTCTAACTGTGAATTATCCTTCAAACCAGTCCTTCTTCAAGCCAGAATACTATTTCCTTTTGGAGTCTTCTAGAATGATGGTTATCAGCTTTTAGGGAGTTTATTTTTATGAAAATCAGAGCTCTTTTCCTAGACAAATATACATATACCAATCATTTTGAATAAAACTTCAGGAAATATGGAGCAGGTGGAGTAAATCCATGGCCCCACATTAAGAAGTTGTGGGATACACGTTCCATAGGATTCTGAAGGAGTGGGTGGAATGTGTTGAAGCTTTCAGCCCCAAAGCACAAAGAATAACAATGATAACAGCTGTCAAAAGCCTGCCATGCATCAAAAATAATGCTTTGTGCACAAACTGGCTCCTGCTGTCCTCACCATGATCCCTTCAAGTCAGCAGTTTGTTACATCGTGCACAGGACACGTGGGGCTTAGTGCCCTTCATATACTTTTCCAAGGTCATAGTTAAAAAGAGACTTAGTGAAAATTCCCAAGGCAGTATTTTTTAAATCTTTTTATTAGTACATGTTTACAGTGTACACAGTTGGGGAGTGCGTCAAGCCAGTTCTCTTAACAGCTAAGTTTAACTGCCTTGCTAAAGAAGTTTAAAAAGCTCTGCCCTTGACAGTTCCTTTAAGAAGTTAATAGTTTGGTAGCTGTGCTTGGGTTAGGAAGTTGGTTGCAAATGTGCTAAAATATCACCTATAATCTTACCCCTCTTAAAGTCATATAGCCAATCTCTGGCTTGAACTCCGTGACTTGCAAGACTGATTCTGGATATTGAATGATAGGGAAAATGAGGAATCGGCAAACTTTATAAAGGATCAGATTGTAACTATTTTGGGGCTGCATGTGGCCTCCATGGCACTACTCGGTGTCGCCCTTATAGTAGGAGAGAAGTCATTAACAATATGTGAATGGGGCCAGGTATTTAGCTCAGTGGTGTCGCTGCCTGCTACTCAAGCACAAGGACCCAAGTTTGATCCGTGGTACAAAAAAAAACCAAAACCAACCAATATGTGAATGGATGTGTGCGGCTGTGTTTCAATAAAACTTTATTTTTGCCAACAAGTGGTGGATTATATCTGGATTGTAGCCCATAGTTTGCAAGCCTTGAAACAGAACTTAAGTATGGAATCTTCTGAGCCCCTAGACTGTTAGCCATGGCTTCCCATTTTTTTTCAGATTCATTTTGCCAGGCTTGTTGCCTTTTAGAATACATTATACTGCCTTTGACAATGTTAGCTGACAGAATACAAAGTGTTTGAGAGCCAGTATACTGTGTCCATAATTAATATCCTTAGCATTTTATGCTTGTTGTTAAATTATTGTTTTTACACTCCCATTATAGCAATCATTCTCACCATGACAACATTTATTGAGGCTTAATTCTTTGACAAAAACTGTCCCCCAAAGCTTTATATATAGGATCTCATTTAATCTTTGCTAAAAGTTCTATATGAGGAAAACCATACAAGTCTAATAAAGAAGTCAGTGGGTTGAGGATTTAGCTCAGTGTTTCCGGTGCCTGCCTCAAAAGCACAAGGTCCCGAGTTCGATCCCTGGTACCAAAAAAAAAAAAAAAAGAAGTCAATGAAAATAGAAATAAGTGGAGAGATATTATATATTCATAGATAAAAAGATTCAATAGTGTCAAGGTGTTAGTTCATCCTAACTTGATCTATACCTGTGACTCATTCCCAATCCAAATCCCAGAAAATTATTTTGCGGATACTGATGAAATGAATCTATGGAGGAAACAAAAGAACCTGAAGAGACAGTACATAAAAGACTGACATTACAGTACCTACTTGAAGGTTTAATGTATAGTTACAGTAACTACTTAATGTTTCCAATACTTAGGCTCATCTCACATTTGGGGAAACTAAAGCAAAGAATGCACTGCTTGTGTCAGAGGCAGAGTCTGTCTAAGGTCCAAATTCTGAACAAAATGGCTCTCAGCACTGTTGAGATCTTGCCCCAGAACCTTTTATTCACACTCTCTTCTTTCTCTGAAGTAAGAGACAGCTAATGTTTATCTTCCTCTCCCCAGCTGCTGGCTCACAGCTGATAAAGGATTCATCTGGAGCTTCATGGGGCCAGTGGCAGTCATTATCACGGTAGGTGATGGTTATTTACATGTGTGCCTGCCCTTGGTTGACCTAGCATAGAGAGTGCACCTCTTATCTGTTATGAAGATAAGGAAATACAGCTCAATGTCACCAATCCATCTTCCTGAAAATATTGTCCTCACTTCCATTTCCATGGTTTCCCCAGCTCACTAATTGTTATGCTATAATATAAACCTCTGCTGAGAATTCTTTTAAAAGCTCCACATTCATTCATTTGTTCATTCAATAAATATTGAATGTGGGCCGGGGATTTAGCTCAGTGGTTCCACGCCTGCCTTGCAAGCACAAGGTTCCGAATTCAATCCCCGGTACAAAAAAAATATATATATATATATATATATTTTTTTTTTTTTTTGGATGAATGTTTACTCTGCACAGGGTGATATATTTTCCAGGAACTTCCTGATTACATCGCTCTTCTAGTATTGTTATTAATAGCAGCTTTCTACTTTCAAAGTGTTCTGATTGAATGATGGGTTTTTTTATTTTATTAGAACTTGTTTGCAGTATATAATGATTATGTTCATCATGAGCAGTTGGTACATGTACATAACACATCTTAATTCTTTTTTTATCTCCTACTCGTCCCCTCTTTTCTCTCTACTTCTTGGTCTCCTTACCTCTGGCAAAAGATCTATCTGCCTGTTTTCTACTATCTTTTATTTTGCAATATAATTTACTTATATTTTGGGTTTCTCATATAAAAGAAAACATGTGATATTTAAGCTTGTATGTCTGATTTATTTCACTTAACATTGTGATCTCAAGGTGGAAGCCACCTAATCAAGCACCCAGTATGGAAGGGTGCTGTACATAGTACATAATAGACTGAGCATGTCCCTAGTATCCCTATGAAGCATGTGAATTTTGGGACAAGGTCTTGAGATCCAAATGAAGTTAGGTTGTTTGAAAGGATCTCAAAAATTGTTTCTAAGTCATTTTTTCATGCTGTTTCCACAGATAAACCTTGGGTTCTACTTCCGAGTTCTATGGATTTTGAGAAGCAAACTTTCCTCCCTCAATAAAGAAGTCTCTACCATTCAGGACACCAGGTAAGAAGGTATCAGAATCAGTGATATTCAAGGATTTGTCCTATGGGACCATTCTTCTTAGAAATGGAAACCTTGAGACAAAATGTAGTACAGGACTGTGACGTAACTCAGTGGTAGAGGGCTTACCCAGCATGAGTGAGGCCCTGGGTTCAGTCCTCAGCACCACCAGGAAAAAAAGCTATAAAATCTCTCATTGCTGAAGAGCATTTGAGGGATAACTTATAGAAGAAATACAACTATGAATTTCAGGTAACTTGATTACTTCTTATTTCTTTAAGAAAAATGTATTGAATATCTCCTTTGTACATCATTCTCCTCATGTGAGATTCATATCAGAAGTATCAACACTGACCCCCTCATCCTTCAGAGTTATACACTTCCGGGCTCCATTCTTCTTGATGTTAGCAACTTGATTCTCATTGGTGTCAATTTTAAATGTTTAAAATAATAATGACAGCTAATACTAATTACAAAATTGATAGATGCTATACCCTGACAAATATTGCTGTATGGAATATTTATAGTTCCACCCTATATAGTGTAGGGTGCTATATCTATTGAAAATATGAACCAAGTTAACTCTTGGCTCATCTTATCCAAGAGTGGGTAAGTATCTTATATTGGTTAGTTGTACAGATATAAATTAAAGGAATATCTGCCTATCTTCTGACCCTGACTTTGGGTCAGACTTTTAGTTATCAGACCCACATGACATCACGTGTCCTCAATTTCCTTCTTCTAGGAGATTCTGAGTTGCCCCACCCCTCTACACATGAGTGTGTAAGTGAAGGTTCCTAACACACACAAGTGCACACACTCACATGCATCATCTCTCCCAGATAGTTACCATCCACAACCCTACTCCATTATGCCAAACACAATTTTTGTTCAGAGAAACCCCATGCTGTTGTATTCCAAAGTCATAAAATCATCATCACCATGGAAAACATGGGTTCTGTTTCATCTTCAGCTGCATGACCTTGTATATGTCACCATCTGCATGAGGTTGCTGTGATGGTTAAATAAGGTAACGCATGAAAAGAATTTAGTTAACACTAGTCTTAACTAATACCTACAGAAAACCTGATAAATCATGGCTAATATTGCTCTCTTTTCCCCCAGACTCATGACATTCAAAGCCATTTCTCAGCTCTTTGTCCTGGGATGTTCTTGGGGACTTGCCTTTTTCATGGCTGAAGGAGTAGGGGAGACAGTTGGATCAGCCATCACTTACTTATTCACCATCATCAATGTCCTGCAGGGGGTTTTGCTCTTTGTGGTGTACTGTCTTCTTAACCACCAGGTAAGACCAATTATTTTCTCTCACCAACTTACCTCAAAGTCTTACTGAATGATTGCTGACATTCTAGCCTTCCCTTGGCCTTCTGTATTTGTAATTGGGGTTGTCTTCTGTTGGAGAAGAGTCTTCAGGTATTGCTATGTCATCTACTCAGAGTTCTAACATGTCACTTAAGAGCATCTGTCAGGATGGGCATGGTGGTGCATATCTGTAATCCTAGGACTTTTGGAGGCTGAAGCAGGAGGACAACAAATTCGAGCCCAGCCTGGACAATTTAGCTACTTCGTGAGACCCTGCCTCACAAAGGAGAGGGTATGGCTCAGTGCAGTGCTCCATAGGTTAAATATCCAGGACTTGTATCCATAGTATAAGGTAGAATATGGCACATTAACAAATAGTCCTTTCCTCCTGGCCCTCCAATCTCAGTGGTTTACAACAAAGGTTTTTTTATACATCATACTACCTAACTGTGCTTTGATCCACACTGTCTTCCTTTGGGGATTCAGGCTATAGGTGTGGCTTCCCATCTCAAAATTCCACTTTACCCAGCTATTCCCCATTAGGTATCTTCTCGAAAGAGTTAAAGACATCATATTATAGTAATACATCCACACCCATATTTATAACAGCACAATTCATAATAGCTAAATCTTGGAAGCAGCCTATGTGTCCATCAACGGATGGATTAAAAAAAGTGTGGTATTTATACACAATGGAATACTGCTCGACCATAAGGAAAGATAAACTTGAGTTATTTGTAGGAAAATTTATGCACCTTGAGATCATAATGTTAAGTGAAATAAATCAGAAATACATGCTTAGGGCCGGGGATTTAGCTCAGTGGTTCTGGCGCCTGCCTTGCAAGTGCAAGGTCCCGAGTTCGATCCCTGGTACCAAAAACAATAATACACGCTTAAATATCATCTGATTTCTCTTACATAAGAAACAAAGATAGCTAAATAAAATGTAGATAATAGGAAACAGGGAGATAGATCTTTTGCAAAAGGGAAGTGGATCAAGAGATGGAGGAAGGGGAGAGAAGGGGACTGAAAAAAAGAATTGAAATGTGTTACGTGGACCAACTCTCCATGAGGAATTAATTATTGTGTACTGAAAATATGTACTAATAAAAAATGAAAATTGGAAAAAAATAAATAAAATGTTGGTGATCTCATGGCTAAAAGAAAGGAGATGGAGCTGGGGATGTAGCTCAGCAGCACAGCGCCTGCCTGGCAGCCCAAGGTCCTGAGTTTGATCCCTGGTACCAAATAAATAAATTAATTAAAGAAAAGAAAGGAGATCATGGCAAAACACAGTTTAGCATGCAGCTCAGCTTTCTTAATGCTTCTGCTGAGCAATCATACACTCTGATGTATTATTGACTCCGATTTCTTTTGTTAAAGCAAATCACATGCTCATACTTGAGTTCACCAGGGACAGATGGAATAATCCTCCTGTAGTGAGATAGACTGTACAGAACTGCTGAAATATTTGGTGCAATCTACCAAAACTTAGAGAGACTTCAGATCTGCCACTAAGTAGGTTACTTACTAGGTAGGTGACCTTGGGCATAATGCCTACTCTGAGCCCATCTCCTCATCTGCAAAGACAGCAATGCCTTCTTCCAAGAGTTGAGGATCAAATGTAACAACAACAGTACAATATAAATCTCACACAGACTTTGCTCTCTGTAGAAAATTGGAACAGCTTTTCTGGCATTTTTCTTTTCCGGTAAGTGGAGTTAGCAGTTAAGATGCTGGTGGCAAAATGACCACTTTAACACCGTTAGTTTCTTTTCCATCTTTTAGTGCTGTCTTTAGGCTTGCTATTATTCCTCAAAGAAGAAATGATATACAACATAAATGTCTTGGTGAAGTAGTATTGATCATTACACCTTTAAATGTCATTCTTAACATGTCAAAGGTGTCAATACGTGGAATACCAGGGGGCTCTTCAGCAAGAATGGAAGGATTTTGGGTGTTTCTCTGTGACCTTGGACAAATCCATTTATTTCCAGAGCATCAATTTCTACATCTTTAGTTGGAAGTAAAAAGAGTACTTTTGTCATTGAGTTGATGTAAGGATTAAATGACATATTTCATTTAAAATGTGTCATATAAAAGTGGCCTCCATCACCACCACCACCATCTTCATGATATACCAAGTCTTTATGGTGCTTGACATGAGTATCTTTTTTTTACAATAGAGGTAGTTGGTTTCAATAAAAAGAATCAACATGAGTATAACCACTATTACACTACAAGTCCAAGAAAAAGTGGTAGAGGGTAGGGCTTGCTTCTCTATCTTTAGTCTTCCGTTCTAGGGTCCTTTCTCTCACACCAAACTCTGGAGATAACACTCGTTTCTATATTTCTCAAACTTTCAGGTGCGAATGGAATACAAGAAGTGGTTTAGTAGGATGTGGAAAGGCACTGAAACCGACAGTGCTGATATGTCTCATTCTACTACCCACACCAAAATGGTAAGATGAGCTCCCCAAAATGCTTTTTCTAAGCCCAGAATACGCTACCAGCAGCTTCCTGGTTCCTTGGTCTTAAAGAAAAGGGAAAGGTTTGGGTACTATGCACACTTTGGTTTATGAAACCAAAACTTCCCTCTCTCCCTCTCTCCCTCTCTCTCTCTCTCTCTCCCCTCCCCTCCCTCCATTTTCTTCTTTATTTTCTTATTTCCTTTTATTTCTTCTTTCCTTTTTTCTCCTTTCTTCTTTCTCCCTTTCTTTGTTATTTTTCTTTTCCTTTATTACTTTTCTCACTGTCTCTCCCTATCTCTTCTTTCCTTTGTTTCATTTCTCCCTTCTTTTTTCTTGCTCCTCTCTCCCTTCCTTTCTTCCCTCTTCCCTCTTCCCTCCTTCACTCTCTTCCTCCCTTCCCTTCTTCTCTTATTTCCTCTGTCTTCCATTTTTCTTTCTCATTCTATTTCTTTTTGTCCCCTTTATTTTTCTTTTCTTCCTTGTTCCTCCTTCCTTCTTCCTTCCTTTCTTTCTCTTTTCCTTTCTTTCTTCCATAAACATGCAAGGGACATTTAACAAGAATGTTTATTACACAACATTCACTTAACAAATACTCATTGTCCACTACATGTGTGCACTGGTTAGGTGCTAGAGTAACAGTGGTGAATGCACTGTCAAGGGTCCTAACCCTCACAAAGCTGACATTCTAGTTTAAGGGAGTGTTGGATAATAAACTTCAATAGAGGATTAGACGACATGTTACAAAGTGATACATGCTACATAAAGTAGAAGTGAAGTAACGTAGAGAGATTAGGAGTGTATGGCATAGAAGTTCAGTTTTAAGCAAAGCACCACCCTGAAGCTCCATGAGAAGCTGCCACTTGTTTGAAGGTTTGAAGGCTGTCAGTGATCAAAATGAGCCCCAGTTATGAAGTTATCCACATTCAGAGGGCCATAAGCGGACTCTAAGCACTTCAGTGGGAAGCCATTTACGCCTGAGTGCTATGACTCTCGCAGCTGGGCTTGTCCTTTGTGAGCCAGGACTCTGTGCCCGTGGGGCTGCTACAAGTGCTAAGAGCTTCATTTTGGACATGAGGCTTCTAGGCTCGGGTTTCTGCCAGACCCCTTAACTCAGGTGGCCTTTTCTCCTCACACCTGAGCCGTACCCTTGGAGTCTTCTTTGGGTTGAAAACGCTACAGTTAGAAGTTAAGACAGAGAAGTGGGAGCATATGTGATTTAGTCAGAAATGGAAGAAAAAGAGGGAGAAAAGATAGGGAAGACAACTCATGAAGGGTCCAGTTAGATACTGTCCCCAGCTGGATCTCCTAGAAAGCTCTGATGTGTGAATGATGCCATCAAGCTGTGCCATCCTCAGGCAGGTGGGTGACAGGGTCTTCTGTGCCCATTCAGTAGTTGGCTCTCAGATCTCTCCTGCAGAGTAGAGCTTAACCCTCAGGAGAGGCAACTCCTCTCACACAGGGTGGTCTTCTGGAGAGGAAGGGAGATATAAACCATGAACAACTAATACAGCAGCAAAGTGTGGGCCACTTGCCTGGGAAAGAGCATCTGTGTGGGACACCCATGTTCACTGCAAGGACCAGAGAGAGCAGCCTCTGGAACTCCATGTGAGGATGTCCCTGGAAGGCTGCATGAGGAAAACATTCATCAGATTTTGTGTGATATTTCAATACATGCGTACTATGTGCATGGACACTTCCTTTGTCCACCATAGATGACCCTTCTCAACCACTAATAAACATGGTTCTACATTCAGATTGAATTTGGGGTATCTCATCTGAGAGAGAACATATGATACATGTCTTTGGTGTCTGGCTTATTTCGGTGAACAATGTCCTCCAGTTTTATCCATTTTGCTACAAATGATGGGAGGTTCGAATTCTTTAGGACTGAATAGTACCCCATTTTGTAGATGTACCTTTTTTTGTTATCCATTCATCTATTCCTGGGCATGTAGGCTGACTTTGTATCTTAGCCATAGTGAGTAATGCTAAAATAAATATGGGCATGCAGATAACTGACACAAAATACTTATGAAAAGCTAAAATAAGACAATTTTTCAAGATAGTGCTTGAGGTATAAATAGTACTAGAAGATTCAGATATTAGGGTGTGTTCCTGAGGTTTTTTAGGAAGGCTAGAGATTTTGGCTAATTTCTGAAGTGTCAGTTTCTCTTTTTCTCATTATCTCCCTCTCGCTCATGTAGGAGGAGCCAAGAAAACCATCAGAATATGCTCTTTGAAGAGACCTTACGTCATTCAACTTCTGATCTGCCTCTGCTTCTTAGCCAAGGACTGAAAACTGACTTGGGTGTCAATGGTGCCTCTCTGTGGTCATGTATGCGTTGGACTATTGCCACTTCCATCTTTCCTGTGAATCATAAAAATTTGTCCACTTTGGCTATCTTTAAAATAAGTTTATTATATTAACACACATTCATTGTAAAAATGAATGGGTTTTACTGTGACATTTCCATACATCCGTGTATTGTGCTTTGATCATTTCAGCCTTCCTTCTTCCCTCTCTTGTCTTCCCTTCTCGTTCCCTTCCCCAAGGACGTCTTCCTTGTTCCTAATTGTCCCTCTTCTATTATCAGGTCATATTTATTTTCTTGTCTCCACAAATAAGCAAAGACATGTGATGCTTGCCATTGTATAGCTGGATTATTTTGCTTAACATAATATCCTTCAATTACATCAATTTTTCTGCAAATGACATAACTTGTTCCTTATGGCTGAATATATATATATGAATGACATTTGCTTTGTCCATTTATCTGTTGATGAGTACCTAGGCTGAATTCATATATTGATTATTGTGACTAGTGCTGGAATAAATGTGGGTCTATAGGTATTTTTATTGTATACTGGATTCATTTCAATTGCATAAATATCAGGACTGGTATACCTGGCTCATATACTACTTCTATGCTTAACTTTTTTTAGTAGTCTTCATAATGTTTTCCATAGGGATATACTAATTTACATTTTATATTTTTTATTTTTATTAGTACACATTTTCAGTACACAATGATTATACTCTTTGTAGGAAGTTGGTACAGGTACATAATACATCTTGATTATTTTTTCATCCCTTCCCCCTTCCTTCCTACCTGTTTTCTCCATCTCTTGCTCCTACTCCCTTTTGCAAAAGATTTCTCTCCCTGTTTTCTATTATCTTTTACTTTACTCTATAATTTATTGATTTCTGGGTTTCTCATATATGAAAACCCATGTAATATAAGCTTATTTATTAAATACATATAAACATATATAGATATTATATATTCTAGATACTAGTCCTGTGTCCAAAGAGTAGGTAACAAAACATTTTTCCCATTCTGTAGGTTGCATCCTCACTCTGTTGGCTGATTCCTCTGCTGTACAGAACCTCTCTAATTTGATAAAATCCCTTTTGGGGAGGGTACTGGGGATCAAACTCGGGTCCTTATGCTTGCTGGGCAGGCGGTGGAACCACAGAGCTAAATCCCTGGCCCAAATCCCATTTATTGATGCTGGTCTCCCCCAGGTGAGCAAGAAAATCTATACCATAAAGAAGGATAAACTTGAGTCATTCTTAGGAAAATGGATGCACCTTGAGACCATACTGTTAAGAGAAATAAATCAGACACACAAGCTTAAATATCCCGTAGTTTCTCTTATATGAGAAACCCAAAGTATATATAAAGAGCAAAATAAAAGATTTATAGTAAGGAGGTAGATCTTTCTTCAAGGGGAAGGGAATCAAGAGCTGGAAGGGAGGGAAAGGAAGGGAGAGAAAGGGATGAAAAGGGATTAAGAGGGATTATATACATGTACTAGCTCCCCCACAAGAAATGTAAACTTTATGCACTACAAACATGTACTAATAAAGGAAATGATCTGGAAAAAAACCAAATGCTGAAAAACGTCTCTTTTTAAATGATACAGGAAATCTAATCATCAGTGAGTGGAAGAATGAATCTAGACACATTTCTCTCACCCTTTGCAGATATAAAATAAAAATGGATCCAAAGCCTAGATATAAAAAAAGAAACACTGAATATATTGGAAGATAAAATAGATAAAACAATTGAAAACACAGGTATAGGCAAGGACTTCCTGAACAGAACACCAATTGCAGGAGAAATAATTCTAAGAATCAACAAAAAAAATAATCAAATTAAAAAGTCTACACAGCAAAGAAAACAGTCAACTGAGTGAAGAGACAAACTACAGAATGAGAAAATTATTTTGTCAGCTATTCCTCAGAGGACTAATATGTGAAATATATAAAGAACTCAAAAAGATTAGACCCAATCAAAAATGAATAATAAAAATGCATAGACACTTATCAAAAGAAGAAATACAGGGATGTAGCTCAGCAGCACAGTGCCTGCCTGGCAAGCACGAGGCCCTAAATTCGAAAGAAGAAGGAGAAGGGGAAGGGGGAGGGGAAGAGGAAAAGGAAGAGGAAGAGGAACAAGAGGAAGAGGAGGAAGAAGAGAAGAGGATGAAGGGCCAGGGATTTAGCTCAGTGGTTCTGCCGCCTGCCTCACAAGCACAAGGTCCCAAGTTCGATTCCTGGTACCAAAAAAGAGGAGGAAGAGGAGGAAGAAAAAGAGGAGGAGGAAGAAGGGGAGGAAGAAGAGGAAGGAAAAAGAAGGGGAAGGGGAGGAGGAGGAAGAGCAGGAGGAGAAAGATGAAGAAATGTCCGATAAGTATATGAAAAGTGCTCAGCGTCTTTGGCCAATTAGAGAAATGCAAATCAAAACAACACTGATATTTCAACTTTCTCCATTCAGAGTGGCTATCATCTGGGACTCAAAAACAACAACAAATACTGGAAAACATATGGGGGGAAATGAGCCCTTCCACATTGTTGGTAGGAATGTAAACCATTACAACCACTATAGAAATCAGTACCGAGTTTCCTCAAAAAACTCAACACGGAAATTCCATTTGACTCAGATGTACCTCTCCTGTGTATATTACCAAAAGATTTGAAGTTATCATATTACAGTAATAGGTGCATACCCATGTTTAAAGCAGCACAACTCACAACAGTTGAATCACAGAAACAGCCTAGATTTCCAACAATAAACAGATAAAGAAAATTTTGTATATATACACAATGGACTATTATTCTGCCATAATTAAAGATAAATTCTTCCCATTTGTAGGAAAATAGATCTTGAATTTATAATGTTAATTGAAATAACCCCGACACTGGATGTTAAATATCATGATTTTTCTTATATGAGAAACCCAAAATATAAGCAATTTTTTAAAAACAAAATATAAAATAAAAGAGTTTGTAGGAAACAAAGAGGGAGACTTTTTGGAAGTAGGGAAGCAGATAGGCAGAAGAACATACTGTGGGAAGGAAAAGGGTTCAAAAGTGATCGAGAAACCGTGTGTGTGTGTGTGTGTGTGTGTATTGCCTATAGGCAAAAGTGAGTGATGCAGGTGGCTCCTAAGAGCATCAGCATTTTCTTACTGGTAACTGCATCAGGGAGGGTCATTAGTTCTCCCATAGGCAATGCAAATTCATTCCCTTAAGCAGAGACCTACACAACACAGGTTGGGGTGGAGATACTTCTACAACTGAGGATGGAAAAATTACTTTCTCTTGAAAAATAAGCTCATCAGAATTTAGGAGTTGAATGTCACCAGCCTCAGCCAACCAGGTGGTATAAACCTATAGTGCCAGCACTCTGATAAGCAAAGGCAGGAAGTTCACAAATTACAGCCCAGTTTGAACAACTTAGGGAGACTCTTTCTCAACATTAAAAAAAAATAAAATAAAATGCTGAGGGTATACCTCAGTGCAGAGGCCCTCGGTTGGATTCCCCAGTAACACAGAACAATAAAAATGATTCCAACCTCATTGGAGTCCTGCCAAACATCTCCATCCCAATTTACACTGTCCTCACCAACACAACCAGCCCCATGGTCACCGTCACTATTACTGTCACATTTACCATCATCAACATTATCACCACCAGCATGGTCACCATGATCCCTACCAGTGTCCTCGTCCTACTATTACCATCATCAACAATCTCATCATCATCTTCCACTCCACCACCATCTGCTACTGTCACATCCACCAACAGGAGCAGCAGTGTCACGATCGTCACCTTAACTATTTCTTCCTCCTCCTCATTATTACTGTGGTCATTGTTATTGTTTTCTTATTGCTAAAACTCTGCATGAAATTTGGAATCACAGTCAAATAGAATGAAATTTAAAATCTCTCATAATTTCATTTCCCTACCAAGATCTATAACATCACTATGTGATAGTTTGTGTCTTGCTCTACAACTTGCATTTCACTCTAATGCTACATCCCAGTAACTATCCATGCTCAATTTTAATAGCTTTCCATGATACTGTTTTGCTCTGTAATATTAAATTACTGGCATTTAAATGCTGCCTTTTCACTAATGCTTTCTTCTTGTGGATTTTACTGGGAGCAACCGAAAGACTCACAGGAGATAGAGGAGCAAAGGTAAAACAACAAAATTTATTTGCTAGTAGGCCAGCCCCACAGGAGCATGCCTTCAGGGACTGACCTGGAGTTACACTGGTGGCTTACCCTATCTCCAAATAAAAAAATTACTCTAATGAAAAAAGAACTAATGGAATATGCTTTATGCAAACTCTCCAGCAAACAAACCAGACTCCTCACCCAGACACAAGATTCTTTGAAAATCTGGAGCCCAAGGTAAGTATCAATATACTTCTTTTGTTAGCTGTGAGAAGGCACTAGAATGGGTGAGATGCAAAGACTTTTCATCTTTAAGGTAAGCAGGTACTTGTTTAGTGATTTTTTTTTTAATGGAAAATGTTTCCCTTGTATCCTTGGGTCTAGAAAAATATTTTGGCTTTGGTAACATTTTCAAAGAGATCTTGCATCCCTGTTGCTTAATTTCTTCAAAGTTGTTGCAAGGCATTGTGACATTCACTTTTTCACTTCTGCTTTGTCAAGGAGTGTGTATGATGTTATGGGGTAGTGTAGAACCTACCGGGATGTCTTACCATTGTCAAGGGATGTGGTGAATGGTATATGAAGGCATGTAATGTGAGTTGAAAGAATAAAACTTTAGGAAGACGAGGCTAAAGCAAACATAGCCTATAACAAATTTGTTATTTAAAATGAAGATCAAGATGAAAAAGATAGCTGGGTGTGGTGGCACATACCTGTAATCCCAGCACTCAGGAGGCTGAGGTAGCAGGATCACCACGAGTTCAAGGCCAGCAGGGGCTACTCAGTGAGTTCAAGGCTATCCTGAATTATAGAGCAAGACTGTCTCAAAAAACAAAATACATATATACATACATACAATTAAAAAGATAAAGGAGTTTACTGAGTTCATGTGATGAATTAGACACTTTTTCCTGTACCTCACCTCACCTTGGAATTAAATGCCAAGATTCAGCACTATCCCCACAATTAAATGCCAATGTAAAAGCTATATATTGTATTCATGGCCAAGTAGACATTTGCATAGTTAACAATGTTCAGCTAGCTTGTTCCAACACACTGAAGAAGCGCTCATGAAATCGACAGTAGGTACAACCAGTATTGCACCAACCAAAAATAAAGGAGAGGGACCGGGGATTTAGCTCAGTGGTTCTGCCACCTGCCTTTGCAACCAAAAGGTCCCAAGTTCGATCCCCAGTACCAGAAAAAAAAGAGAGCTCTAATTATAAAATATTAGTTGCTGCTTGTAGTACGATGTCACTGAACTTGATTCAATTCTTACTATCTTTCTGTCTCTTTCTCTGTCATGTAAGATGTATATTTTACACTGGATAATGGTTCTGAATCTCTCTAAATCATCATTGTCGAAGGCCTAGGCTGTTCTGAAATATATATTACCTCTTTTATATAATCACATTCACTACAGTTACATTAGTTTCAAATGGGGACTCAAGAAATAATTGTCCTCATCTGAATAAGTATTCTTTATGTCAAGTTTCCATAGCACTCTTTAGATTCTTTTTGCAGGGAAGAGGAATATGAATCAAAAAGGCAGCAAATATTCAAGGAAGAGGAGGCATCCAGGATGTATACCTCTTCAAATTATAAGTATAATTCTTCAAACAGACCATAGAGAATTTGTTT